TGCCCTTTATATCAGAGAGCGAACCTCATGCTGGCTCTGATTAGCTGGCAGGGAAGAGCTGAATTAAAAGCAGCGACCAGAATGAAGGGTAAGTAGTTGTTATCAGAAAATCACCAGCTAATTGCTTCCCAGTCCCATTAATTTATTTACTGATCTCATCATTTGACTGTTGAAATTTTTCCAGCATCGCTGGGTCTCATTGTCATAACATTGGATGCTACTAAAAAACTTAAGAACGCAGCACACCATAGAATTGTTGCATGCATATGAGGAGACAAGGGGCAAGTAAAAATTTAATACTATCTTCTTTATTATTTTGACTCTAGGGGAAATAGAGATTTGGGAGGAAGTCTGAAGACTGGCTTCTTTTCCTTGTTCTGAAAAGACAGAACTTTCTGTAAGAGACATAATTGGTAAAAACTTTCTTTGACGGAAAAAATCTTCTTCTTCAAAAGGCATACCAATAAAGAAGTTTTGTTCAGTCCCAATAGGTACATTTTAGATTCTTGCACAAATTGTACTGCAACAATTTCGGATTTTGATGTATCCTTCCTACCTCAGTTACTTGCTAATGTAAGCATAACAAATTATCTGCTATCATCTAGCTGAAGCTACTAGACTGCAGTTAATAATTTACCTCTCAACTCATCTTTATTCTGAACATGCAAATTATTAATTGATTACAGGTTTTCCATAGTCATCTGTGTAAATGACTGCTCTTGCCTTTCATTACTGCCTCCTTTTCCACCTGTCCGTCAATCAGCTCTTCTTGGTGATGCCAAAATAACATTTCACGCTCGTGCTGTTTGCAGAATGCCAAGGCTCAAATGAAAGCACAAAGGAGGAGCCTGCACAACAGGAACGTAGCCTCTCAGGCGTGATGCTGCCCATTGGGATGCACAATGTTCACTGTTTTTCAGCACTTTTGGAAGAAACTATGAAAAGTGCACAACATAAAACACTGCTTCTGTGCAGCGTGAATAGCAGCTGTAAGCAAGAAGTCAAAAACTGGAACAAATTTCAAGTTCTTCACATATCTGCTGTCATATTTGCAGGTACATAAGGTAAAATGGATGGCTGGATCTCTGGAGATACGGGATTATTAAACATGATGCTGTTCACATACACTAGGCACAGAGCTACATCCTTTTTGAGACCTGACTTACTAACACAAGCGTATTTTGGCATCTTCACATGTGCAATGCAGGGCCATGCTTTGCACAGCACAGCTTTTGTACCAGTCTGTTATGTGAATCTGGAGTGCTTTATCCTCAAGATGCCATAAACAAAGTGCTTCTGTGTCCTTGTGCAAAAGGTGATGGGTGCCATTCAGCTGCTGGGACTGTCAGCTTTCTCAGGCAAGTATTTTCTGCTGTAATCCTTACCCTGTGCGCTCTTAAAATAAATCTCATTGTATATGAAAAATGCTGATTGTTGATAAAAGAAGGAAAAAGAAGAAAAAGAAAATCCTGATAAAATACAGTGCTACCCTAAAGCTTTGGAAGGAAATGGAATGGTAGCAGATGCCTCCTCTAGCAAGGTAGATAACAACGTATGAGTCCAGATGAACTTCAAGAATTAGCTCTACTGCAGCTTCACCCGTTTTTCTCTCATGCACCAACAGCAGGTTACTAACAGTTTCCTGCTAGCTGCTAAACCAACAGTGGGTTAGGCCATGGTAAAAAGCCAGGATATCTGGCTGTATTTGTTTTATTACAAGCTGTGGGTTTAATCTTGTAAGAAATCATGTGATGGCTTTATCTCTAGCTTTGAAGACCTACCTCCACAGATCCCTGCGCTTGGCGTGGCTGTGTTAGAGGAGGGGAGGCAGGAAAAGCCTGGCTAATTTCAGAGCTCTGCCGACAAGATAGCACCAACACATCCCAGCCACAGGACAAGCCAAGAGCACTCTCAGGCTCTGCAGGAAAAATCATTTATACCAGTACATGCTGCACCATGATGAAGACATGGGAAATGCACAATATTTGCATTCTGGTCTAACATTACAGATCGATCCACTAAAAAGAATGGCCAGAAGTCAGAAAACCGGTCCTTTTTAGTTTGCTTTTAATATAATGATTCTGTTTTTCTCTTTGCTTTGTTTTGTTTTGGAGTGTTTCGTTGTTGTTTTATGATACATTTGCATTACATCTTCAATATTTTTCCTACCACCCTGATTAGAAAAATTCATTTTTCCCTTGGTGAGTCTCCATCCCAGAAGCAGAGACTATAAGAAAACACAACGAGGCTCGGATACTCAAAAGGTATTTGAATGACTAACTCCCCTCGGTTTCAAGCACCACATCACCATTATTCTTCCTGAGTGCTCTTCCACTCTGCCAAGCACAAGAACAAGAGGTTGTTCTTTATGCTGGCTGCCTCCTGATCTCCTCATGCAGTTTTGAATCTTTTCCAAACCACATCCCCGATTTTAGCGGGGAAAGGAGACCGGGAGAAAGATGTTCACATCTGTGAAGAGCCACATCTGCAGGCAGCCCTCCTGCGTTCAATCCTCTGCTTTGGCTGTGGAGAAGGCGGCCTTGATTGCACAGACCTTTGAAGTTTAACAGTGATTTGAATGTGCTGACAGACAGTGTCATTGCCACATTTATATCAAAAGTTGATTATCTATTGAGAGGAAGTCTGTTTATGTGTTTACTTCCACTTTTGTTAATATCGGGAAAGGAAAGGGAAATTAACATATGAAAATGCCAGATGTGACTAATAGCTATCAAAGTAAGACAGGACTGGGCTCCAGTGAAATGTGTCTGCTAATTTGGAATAATCTGATATTGTCTTTTCTGCCTTAGAGTTATTCAGGCCCCCACAGTAAAAAGATTTATTGGGAAGCAGAAAACCTGCGTTCTTCCTCACTAAGACTTTGCACTCATATGACGGCATTGTTTCTTGTACACAGTTGTAGGACAGCACCAAAAGAACAGCATAAATTCTCTCGGGTACCTTTCAGTCCCTGTTCAAAGACATGAAGTATTTGGCATCCAAGATTTATGCACCAAGGTGATACTCTAATAAATTATGTCAAGACATCTGAAAGTCATCATTTCTGTGCACATGCATGCATTTTAAAAGAAAATCTACAAGAGGATCAAAAACAAGATTAAACCACATCTGTTTGGGTTTAAACTACATTGTCTGCAGAGTTCAAAGTTGTTTCCCTTCGTCTAAAAAAACTTACCCAGCTGTTTTTTATCTTAAATTCCTACCACTATCAAAGAAGTGTTTTCATTGGCCAACTGATGTTATTTCTAGAAGCTGAGCTAGTTAGGAATGGAGCTAAGTAACAAAATATGCTTTATTCATCAAAGGTCTACCCTCTGTGACTCGACTTGGCACACTGAGAAAATTAATAGAGAGGTTTCACCAGGTTCTAATGGGAGCCGTGTATCTACTGTATGTCATCATGCAATAAATTAGGTCCTCAATCTTTTTACGCCAGTAATTGACTACAACTGACACCGATAAGAAAAACATGAGACAGAATGAATTGGAAGAGGCACAAATTATACAATAAATAAACAAATACTACACAAATTCAATACGTGGGAAAGAGAAATGTTTTGAGAGCTGTCATCAATCAGTAAACATTCTGCATGAGTGCAGGTGTTGTGCGGTAGTGTTGTAATAGCCTGACTTGTTCAGCTACCACTGACAAATGTACACACCCAAGGACACGTGTCTGTGTACGTTTACATGCACACACACACACAGGAACACCAGAGCATGAACTCCCGATGTTCTGCGTTAAACACAGAGTGCAATAAGTGGTACAGCAAGTTGCCTCCATCACAATTACAGGGCTTTGTGTTAAAACAGGAAATAAATGCAAAGCCAATCTAAAGGCATATGACATGACAGCTGCATCCCAAGCAATGAATTTCACATTTTTATACGCCCTCTGCCTTCTGAATGGCTGCAGCAGCACGTGAAGGCCTGCTTCACACACCAGGGCCACAATTTCACTCCAGTGGGAACTGGCTGAAGCCTCTCGTGCACCAGGCTACGTCCTAACTCCCAGAGGTAAAGTTCCCTAAAGCCTAAGGCCAGCCTGGATCCACAAACGGAGCAGCAGAATGGTCATTTTGGCCAAACGGATCTCGGAGCTGCCCTCTTACCCCCTCCCTACATGCAGAGCCCAAGAAGGGAGCAGGCACCGTGCTTCCAGCCAGGAAGCTGCAGACACCTGGGGAGCTGGAGGGCAGGCAGGTGGGGGCCTGGGGGTCCTGTTCCTGGATCTTGGAACCTAAACACCCAGAAGTTTTCTTTACTTCACTGATCTGGCCCTATTCTTTCTGAAAGCAGGGATATAACTTGCTTTTTTTACGCAGCAAACAGGAAAACCGAACAGTTGGACGCCCTACAGCTGGTCTACTAATGTCGCAATCTTTTCAATATGTTCATTATTCAGTTGCCACAGATTCATACATTTGATAGCTCTTGGTCTGCAGATCATTCACATCGTGGCCTAACAGCTGGCATTTCATGCCATAACACTGTAACGATGTACCCGTAATGTATAGAACACATGGGGCTAACTCTGTTCACCGAGTACATACTATGTGCTCCGCTGTCAAACAATATTTTACACATTTCCAATTTACAGTTAACATTGTGTGGGATAAACCAATAAATCATTTGGCCTGGGAAGAGGAACAATACCAGCTAATTCATGCAACTAATCCGAAGCACATCATTTTTGTTATTGTGATTGTTTTCACTGAAATCTTGAACTTGAAAATGTTTTGGGTGGTCTTTGTTCTGAATACGTCCCCCTCATCTTTCCAAAATCCAGCATTTCAGAGCAAGTTCTGCTTGTCTTATCTGCTCCCCACAAATAGAAAAAAGCAGGGATTCAGCCTGCTGACACACGCTTAGAGATTGCTCACAGAAGGCTGGCCCTCGGTGTACAGCTCAGGAGGAAAACCTGTAAATGGATTCTCCAAAGCAGGAAAGTTCAAGAATGGAAATAAATCAAGATGAAGAACAATACAAAAATGTGTCATCAATTTATTCAAACACCTTCTGGCATACAGCAAGAAAAATAGCCCCGGTGCCCCCATCACTACTTAATGCAATTCTCTTTTTCCTGGTCACGGTAATGCACGTTCCAACCTCTGCCCGAAAATGAAATACAAATCTGGCCAGACAGAATTCACACAGCTCCAAGGGAACGAGTTCAGTAATGCCCAAGTGGCTTAGTAATTTCAGTCACATTTTCAAAGTCCCAAAGCAGCATTCAGGCCCAATTCCTGTGTTTAAGTTTCGTGCCCTTCAGTACCTTTTGGCATCTGGCTTAGGCCAGCAAGCGCATTCAGCTGTACTTACACAGACTTCTTAATTTTTTATAGGAAAACCGTGCATCAACATAGCAGATCTTCCACTCAGCAGCCATAGGATGGCCTAGAAATTGCAAATACACAGCAAAACCCAAGCAAATACGCAGCAAAACCCAAGCAGTTCAAAAATAAGCTCTGATTGCCAGCTCCACAGCCCTGCGAGGGAGGTGAGCTGAGGACAGAGTGAGCAGCAAGTACCCCAGCCCAACCCGCCGCACGTACCAGCTCCTGGCAGTGCTAGGTCAGGGTATTTCTTTCCCCTTCCCACACCAACACACCCTTCATAATTTCAAAGATGGATGGATGCAGACTAGGAGTTTGAGGTTTTTGGCTGCCTAACAGCAGTAGGAGCCATCCAAGCGATTTGAATTTCAAATCTGTGGAGGAGCTGGAGGGCAGCCCTTGGTGGATGGCTGGTCACAACTGCCTGAGCAGCAAATACTGTGGTGGGATCACTTTCTAACTGCTTTTTTACTTAGTAATAGACAAGTCTTATTTAGCAAAACCATTCACAGTAATCACAGTAATCTGTGATCTTCACTGCAGACCCTGAAAATTCAATGTGAAAAGGACAAATGTTTAGAAAAATTTGATGTGTAAATATTGCATAAATACAAAATAGGTGTTTGTAAGGCTCTTGTGTGTTTTAAGTCTCATAAACATGCTGGGAGACAGGTAACTTCCGAGGAGCCTTTCACCCCACTGATAACATGAGGACAGACATTTACACACCACACCTCTCACCAACCAGTCCTCCTGCGATATGCCAGAAGCAACAGGCATCTCCAGCTGCGGGAAGAGAGGCTTTTTAAGATCATTGCCTAGTGGGTAGCAATCAGAATACTCCCTTGTGCTTGGGCAACTCACATCAGATATAACATCAAATAGCTTAGAATAAACATCCAGTCCTTGCGGTCCCGCAGTCCTCCTACCAGCCCCACCAAGTCATTCAGTGACTATTTTCCAGCGCCAGAAAATATGAAAATTAAAACCTCAACAAGATTATAGCGTTTGCCATCACATTGGCTTTGCTAATATTGCTTCATATTATGTAAACTGTGAGCGCTGCAGTTATGGGAAGGCATTGTAACCTTCCTTGCCAGAGCGGTGACAAACAGAATCTGAACCCTTTTTTAAATACAGGGCTGAACCATCCCTCATCTTTTAAAACACATGCCCAGGAGCCAGCTATTCAGCTTCAAACTCACCTGCGAAGCACTTCAGGGAGGTGCAACATGTTATGACTTTGCTCCTATCTGAGCTCTGCACTGCTTTCCTCGGCAATGGTGTCTTGCCTTACACCAGCAGCTCCAGTATCACTGCTCTGGGGGGAGAAACAAACTCAGACAAAACCCTATTGTTTAATCACTCAGAAATACAGTAAATATTTCAAAAGAGCTTAATGTTATAAAAGCAAACATGAGAAGCAAAATCTTGCTGATCTGAAAGCAATTTTAGAGATATTTTCTGTCCAAGGAGACCCTTCTTCAGACCTCCAAAATGTTCTTATTGTTCCTCCTACCACAGGACCTGTGAGCTCTGGCCAAGTCCTTTGACTCTGACTGTTCAAGGGCATGAAGACACAACCCACCCCACACAGTTTGCAATTAAACCAGCACAAGAGACAATCTAGGGATACGGGCAAGCCTGGGGAGCTTTCCAGGCAAACATGATCATCTTGACAAGCCCCGGTATAGTCTGCATTTAGATTTCTGATGGTTATCAAACAACCACAGGGAGTTTTATGGAAATTTTGAAGGAAAATACTGCGCTTTGTGAATGTGCAAGAGACGTTCCTCCTATGAGCACATGTAAGTATAAATCTGATCAGTCCGGAATGGAGATGGGCATCGTGGGACAGCTGCATTTGGGAGGCAACCTTTTGGTAATGATGCTTAAACAACCAGCTGGGCAGGCTACAACAGGCCTCATAACACCTTGTAAGCAAAGCCAAGACGTTTATAGGTGATAGACGGGAAAGGGAAGTCAGTGATAAACACCAATGGAAGGACACAACAGAGAATGGCACAGGAACCTGTCAGGAAAATGTGAATAAAACATGATGAAAAAGCTTGCTGAGGTCACTGTTTGATTTCGGAGTTTTAAATCAATTAATAGCTTATTTAGGCAGAGCAGGGAGGGTCCTACTGTCCCTTGTGTGTTTCTCTTCCTCCCCACATGCAGCCAGCAGGAACAGCCCATCGCTACTCATCAAAAAGAGCAGAAAAGAGTGAACTGACTCACTGCCATCCGTCCGGGTCTGAAGCTGACACAGAGCAGGAAGGTTGAGGAAGGAGGAAATAAAGAGAGGTCTCAGTGGCAGAGGACCCTTCCCGGGAAGAAAGGGAGCATTATCCTTGGAGTCAGAGCAAGGGGAAGGCTGGGGAGAGAGCAGCGCGACACAAAGAGCAGCCCCCATCCCTTCTCGTTCCGCATGCTGCTCTGATCTCACTCGTAGGCTGAAGGTCTAATTAGCGCTGTACTGGCCTGATGGTAACAGAAGATAGCAAACGAATTGCTGTTCTTCACATGGAAAGGAGATGTTTTAGTGGCTTGAGTTTTCCTTGTGCGGCTGTAAAGAAAATATGCTTATTTTCCTTTTTATATACCGGGAAACATATGGAAGCTGGATTATATTTGTCCCAGTCTGCCAGCATTTTAAATTTATAGAACCCCAATCCTTTGGGGAATGTAATAAATTTACATACATTCTCAAGTGCTAATGCTTGCACAGGGATCTTTAGATTAGCGGATCCGTGTGCACAAGCCCATATGCACAACCACCTCTGCAGAGGCCTCGCACACACGGAAGGCAATGCGGGTCGAGGCTTCGCGTGTTGGTGCTGCTCGGGGCTGTGTCGGACCAGAAGCTCCTTGCTCCATGCAGGCACAGCTCCTCGGAGGACATCTCCTTTAAAATATATCTGTAGACTGTACAAAGGTATTTATTTTATCAGCGTACATCACCTAGGATGCAACAAGGCTTTCCAGGCTCCATTAAGCTCCAAACACTTCTCGGTCTTTTTAGCTGACGCGAAGACTTAGCCCTAAGAAATACCAGCCACAGCCCCCTCCGTCCTACAGCTAAGCATCTCAACAGTGCATTTAAATTGATGAAAAATTCTCACTTTTAACTATTTTACTCTTTTATTGTAATTGTTCTGTTTTGTTCAGTGACTGCCTGATGCAAGCCAAGCTGATTTACACATTGAACTGGAATTTGTGTACCAGCAAGATTCCCTGATAGCATTTTTCAACAGAAGCATTTGAAAGCATCCCTATTTCTATCACGTGAAGACCTAAAACTAGCTTTCTTTATCCTCACAAGTTACCAACAAATGTGTGCACACATTGACTCGCCGCAGGAACTTTATAAATCTCACATCTGAGCTGGGGAACTGCAGGAACATGGGGATCCCACGACAGGTCTCCTTTAGGGGAGCTCCCCCAAAGCGTGCAGCAGAGCCTGGGGCAAACCCAGTTGCCTGCAGCTTTTTCCTCAGTACCTAAAACCTGCAATCGCCAGCCGTGAACCCGTGCATACCTTGGCGCTGAGTTAGCAGAAGGTGGCAGTGTTGGATCCACCATCTCCCTGAGCCGCAGCCGAGCCTCCAGCAGGAGCAGCTGGCAGCACAAACGCCTTTAATAATGACAAATTACACATCCGCTGCTCAATTAGTCATCAGTCACATTGTGATCCCCTCCTCTGTCAGGTGGCTGCAGTCAAAGTCCTTAATTCGGAATTATCCGTTTTGTTTTTAAAATAATAATAATAATTAAACCCCCACCCCACTAACACAAGTGGGGAGGGGGGAGCCAGGGTGCCTGTGCCCACACAGTCCCCTGGGCAGCCGGACCTGGGCTCGCTGCTTCTGTGGCTGAGATTTTTTTGTGAGGGCTACGGGAGCACCATGCCAGGTCCCTTCTGTGCCACCGTCCAGGCCCAGCTACAGAATGAAGCAGAGGAATTACAGGACGGCAACCCCAAACTGTGCCCAACGGGCCTTTTGCAGATGAGATGTGTGTTCCTTACTCAGTAAAGCCTTAGGACTGCAAATGGAGCCGTGTCCTTGAAAAGCCTTACTACGAGCCCCAAGACCTCACCATCTGGCAAAATCAGTCCCCAAACCACCACCGGATTCGGGGCTTGCACAGAAACACTCCAATTTCTCCTTCCACCACAGGACATCACAGCCAGGTGGTGAACTTCTACCTCGTCTCCCATCTGAAAGCCTCAGGTGCCGAGGAGCAGCTTGCAGGCGCTCGCTCACCCACGCCGCTGGACGTAGGGGAAGGATCTGCTGCCAGGGAAAGGAGCAGGCAAACAGCCTGGCTCCGACAGGAAACATAACACCAGCTGATTCAGGGCTCTTTAGCATATGAATGTGTAAATTCGCTGTGACAGGTGGGATGTTTCAAGGACTTTCAATAGGAAGCCAACTGCTGCTCGGTTATCATTAGAAATTCCTCACCGCGATGCCAACGCCTGGCACCCCGCGCTGGGGAACCCAGCTCCGAACCAGCTTCAGAAAGGGAGAGAGAGCAGCTCAAATCCATGCTCCTGCTGGGTGATTCCCTGATCGGAGCACAACTAGCAAAATATTTGCTCATGCAAATGTTTCCTGCCATGAGCAGCTTAACAATATCAATGTGTTTCATGCAGGCAAATAAACAGCAAATAATGGGAAGCATATGAGGCAAGGAGAAATACTTGGAATCCTCCGAATTGCCGGGCTCTTTGCTTTAAGGAGAGTCAGAGCCCAGCAGCCCAGCACTGACCTCACCCTGTAACACAGCCAGGGCAGGAAGAGGCTGAGGAAGGGCTTTCCAAGAGCACTGAGCCCTGCACCTCTCGGCCAGCCACTCGGGCACTCACCAGTCTCCCAGCAGCAGCTGCTGGATGCTGAGCCCCGGCGAGAGAGCTCAGGGGATCCCTCCCGTGCCCCGATCCAGCCTCTATCCCCAGCAGGGCTGCACCTACACCAGCTCCTGTTCTGCCCTGGTGGGGATGCAAGAGGTGGCAGTGCCACCCATGGGTGCTACCCAGTGCCATCCCCCGTGTGCAGAGCACTCTGCTGGCAAGGACGAATGGCAGAGGGTAATTTCTCCAGATGAATCTCCTGGAAAGAATCAGCAAGACAGGGACACGTTTTAAGGACTTGCTCAGAGTTTTTGGTGGCTCCTGTCCAACGGCCAGCACACAGGAACAGCCTGCGTATTTTCACTCTCCTGGAATAACACAGAGAAAAGTTCCCATCTGCCTCCTACAGCTCCGTTCCCTTTCTGAGCTGAGGGACAACAGATCTCCAGCTGGGTCTGCCCGGCCTCAGGAAGGGACAAAACAGTCCCGCAGGCAGCTCAGCAGGTCAGGCCCGGATTTAAATCCTCAGCTCATCACATCCACACCTCCTGCATCACCCCTCTCCACCTCAGTCCCTCCAATTCCTCACCGTGTTTTGGTTGTGCTTCATTTTGTTTTTATTGACATAAACACAAAGAGAGGTGCTCAGACACTGCAATACCGAAATGACCCAAGTGCAGGCAGACACATACCTGGGAGATCTGCAACAACAGCAGCTACAAGAGAGCTTTTTTTTTTTTCCCCTCCTTCATCAGGCAGAACCTGTATTCCAGGGACAGAGGGGATTTTTCTTAAAACCTAGGAAAACACTGCTTGCAGTGACCTAGCAGAGCCATGCTCGGTGAACCAACTGTCATGCTCTACGTACACTAAGTGCTACACTAAGTGAAACCAAACAAATGAATTAAAAAAGATTAACAGCTCCAAAGCTGAAAGACATGGAGCCTTTTATGTCTTTCTCTCCAGGATATCTGGGACATTTGTTGTGAACACAAGTACACTGCACATGATTACAATTTATTGAATTAAACCCAGAATAGTTTCTGTTGTGTAAAGTAGCACTTTCTTCCCTTATCTAACGCAGATGAAATGTCAAACTTCAATGCCCATCTGCGATACCATGTTCCATTACAAATCTATTGAGCAAATTAAACGAAGTTCATCTGGAATAGGTTTTTTTCTAGTTTGCTTTTTGAGGTTATGAGCAGGGCTTCGGGCAGCTGCTGCAATCAGTCTGCAAGTTAAATGTTGGTTTCATGGTGGCTGATGACCTAACAGAAACAGTGAATGTTGAGCACTAGGGGAAAATAGTAGGATCCTGTTTAACCAACTTACATTTCCTCTCTCTCTCTCTCTTTTTTTTTTTCTTTTTTTTTTTTTGTCTGAAGAAGTTACTTTTCTAAAAAGGAAAATTTTTGCTGCCTTTGGTTTCCACCCCTAAAGGACCCAGCTGGGGGATTCACTTTGCTTAACAATCACCTTGAAATGTGTCCTTTAACCAAGACACACTGCGTTTAGCTTTGAAGTTCAGACGTTCACTCCAGTTTGAATCTAACATTGAAGGAAGTTTTGAGAAGCACGCTCGCACCTAGGCTTTGCCAGTAGAGGAGGATTTACACCACAGGCCTTTAGCCACAAACCCCCACGAGTTCCACGGCCCATAAGCAAGATCTCAGTGACTGCACACAGGCTCCCGACACGCACCAAAGCTGCTGCTAATGTTTATATTACTCCCGGTGCTGCATTTGCTGCCGTGCAGGCTAAGGGCTCAGCACATGACTGCACTTTCAGCTGCAGGGAGCACTTGTGAGCACCGACAGTGCGGGCAGTGCTGCCAACACGCACACGGCAGCAGGCACGGAGGAGGCTGGTGCACAGGGGCTGCGCGGCTCCGATCCAGCAAACGGGGACCAGCTCAAGCAGGGAAGAAGCACAGACCTGACACATCCTTGCGAGGATAAGTAAGGGCCAAGCAAGCCCCAGACCTGCAGGGAAGATGCATGGGAGCAGCCGGAGATAGGGGCGGTGCAGCTTGGTGCTACACCACCATGGGCCACCCCGTGCAGGGGATGCGTGCCAGAGACTGTGCAGCCTCTCTCATCCAAAATGCATCAGGGCTGGGGTACAGCCTGAGCTCACACGGACACACCGGGCATTATAACGTATATCAAGCAGTTTAGAAAGGCCTTGCAAGGCCTCTGCTCACCCAAAGGTCTCCAAAATGTATCAGCTACCAAAAAACATGGCTTCAAAGCTACAAAAAAAAAAAAAAAAAAAAAAAAAAAAAAAAAAAAAAAGGAAAACAAAACCACAAAACAAACATCTAAAAGCCCAAATGGAGGCAGACAGCTAGAGCCAGTGCTCCAGGAAGTGTCACTTTACAATACGCAAAGTCTGTGGAGGTGATGACATTAACACTCACGGCAGAATTTCACTCCCGGTGCTGCTAAGAAGCAGCTGAGAAGCTCACAGCTCTGCCCCAAGGTGTCTCTTGAAGTCTCCTGTATTTCTTTGCACTTCCATGACAACAGCTTTCTGTCGCTCTCTCCTAGCACCGCATATTGTGAAATCAGAGTTATTAGCTACGTTAGCCGAGGCAGGGTGCAAAACAACCCTGAGCCCTCTTCCTTAGATCTTGGAAAACCATTTGACTCAGCTTGATTTCCTTACCACGAGTATAAAAAAAATAGGCATTGAAAATGTTTACAAACCCTTTTCATGTGGAGAGGAAGAACGTGAGTTCCCTTTAATCTTTCTTAGCTCGTGCGTGTTAACTGCACGCTTAGGGAGAGCCAGCTGACTTGCATTTTGGGAGGGATGTGCGGGGACCGCTGAAGCCTCAGAAGGCTGCAGGAGCCAGAGGTGACTGGGGAACAACGTACAGAGATCACCACGAGAGCAAGAGCTAGCTCAGAGACCTGCAGACTGACATCCCACACTCACCTGTCCCTGTAGACCAGGGAAAGGCAAACTTTCCTGTTCACCTCTGCTCAGGCCAGATCTCCAACTTGACAGAAAAGAGGAGAAAGATTTTCTTGCTTAAGCGTAGGTGTTTGCAGAGAGTGTGCTCTTTACTGCGCTGATGGGGATCAACTTTAGTTTGTGGGTCATTGTGAAGGCAAAAGGTTAATTATTATTTAAGATACAAGATAGTTTAAGGATGGGGAGAAAAAAAAAACCAAAACACAAGGTGAAGAGACCAACCAACAGATCACACCAAGAGCACCAGGGCTGCTGCTGGTACAGAGTGATGAGATTTAGTCTTTAGTCAACGTTTGACTACCACCCCGAGTTGAAGTACCCACACTACTGAAACATCTCCCAAGTTCCTAAGTCCTTTCAAGAGTTTTCGGTTATTCTGGATATCCTACAAGCCTCCTTGCAAGGACAGGATTGAAAAAAATACACAAAGAGCTGTAGTGGAAGGAAAATGGGGTGCATAGTGTAGTATGTTGTACACTACATCCTGTAGTATGTAGCTGTGTGCCATAAAACCCACAGCTCGGGATGTTGTGAGCTACCTGAGGGCTCCTGTCTTTCAGTTACGACTTGCCACAGACAAACTGACTGCATTCAGGAGGGGTTTTATTGGGCAGCATTGATGTGAATTTTATCACATTATAGTTCTCCCCATTTGGGTTGCAAAATTGGCCATAGTTCCAAGAAAAGTATTAAATAGGGCTAAGAAAACAAGCAATATCTAACGTGAAATCTGCCAAGTAATGTGAGATGGAGCTGGTGAGAAGTTTTCCAACAGGACCTTCTTCCAGGAGGAAATTTGGTTTCCTTGAATCCAAAATGTGTTCAGAAACGTGTCACATTCAATGACACCATGTTTGAAAAAGAGCTGGAGCAGGGCTTACATTGAGGCTGAACATTCAGACTTTCCTGGAGTGGAACTTTTCTGTTTGGAAATGGATACTTTTGATCCTTTTAATCTGATGTTATGCA